GCTCAGCCATGCCTAGTTAGATCTTGCTTCCGCGATCCAGCAAATACACACGTAAAGTAGCCAGCCTTCCAAGAATGAAGTGGTGCCTGCCTTAGAATAACCAATGTAGCAAGCAGCTTGTATCACAAGTCATTATGTGGTCAAAAGCCAACCTTTTACAGGACTACTTCTGCGGCGTAAGGCGAAGAAGTGAATCGCCAATTAGTAGTCCTTGTAGCTACTTGTTTGGCAGCTGTTAATGCATCACATGTGGCACCCGTTCTCTTCGTTGCTTCCACCACAAATTTCCATTCCTATTTGACATAGGCGTGAGCAAATTATCTCATCAGTCACACAAAACATTGCCAGGTGTTTGTCTTGGCACGTCGGTTCCGATTCGCTCTTCCCAATGGAGACACGTGATTCTTTGAATTGACGAACCATTTCTGGGTGGTGTGTTCTGCTACCAATTACCGCATCTGCTCCTGTAACATTGGAATTCAATTTATTTCACCTCGAAGGGCCGACCAGCTCCAGCCACAGCCTCTACTTTTAGCTGACAAATCACAAACTGCGATAAAGTGTGCCACACAGACAGACCGACCCATCACCACCTATGCTTTCTAGTACATGATTATGTTTAATAGCATGCATTTTACAAGTGCTGACGAGTACCTGCAGTGGTTGCAGCTAGCCTTACCATAAATGCACGAGCGACTTTAGGCCCCTAAACTAGAAGAACCCCCCAAGAAAAGACTTATGCTCTAGTGAAAAACCAACCCTTTGCATTTGACACCCACAAGTCCGAAATGGATGGTCGGCTGGTGTCGCGATCATGCTGCATAGAATAAATAGCCCCGCTTCGACATTCAAAGACTCCTAACCGTTGTGTTTGGGGCATTGAACGAGCATGTTCGTGTTATTAAAGACGCAATGACATCTGCCACTGAGAACATCACGAACGATGTGAGTTAAGCCGACTTAGGAGTAGCTGGCGCAGCCTGTACCACTTAGACCAGTCAACATTGAGAATAATTTCATCCTGCCCCTAAAAGAAACAACGTGTTTTGCTGTTTAAAATTTGTGTAAAATTCTCACTATTCCTTTGCGCATAATCTACAGAGATTGGAATTTATGGAAGTAACTGAGACTGGTTTTTCACCGTCGCAAATTATGTGCATTATGGACTATGATCTAGCGCTGTAAAATCTCACAGCTTAGAAGTCAAAAACATTTTCGCAATCAAATTGTTGGTTGAGTCCCTTCATTACAGCCATGCTGTATCATGACTGCAGATGCTTCTTAATTACTACAATTCACATTGAAGCTCTTTAAGGTGTTAAAAATATAGAATGGAATTTAAGGTTAACTGTGACAAAATTTGCTTGGATTTAATTCCCCAAATAATATATTGTTC